CTACTACTACTACTACTACTACTACTACTACTGCGACTGCTACTACTACTACTACTACTACTACTACTACTACTACTACGACTAAGACTACGACTACGACTACGACTACGACTACGACTATGACTACGACGACTACTACTGCCACCACTTTTTACTGCCACTAACCACTACCACTTCGACTACTATTGCTGCTGCTGCTGTTGCTGCGACTGCTACTGCTACTGCTACTGCTACTACAGTTTTGCCGCTGCTGCTGCTATTGCTGCTGCTGTTACTAGCACTACTACCACTGCTGCCACTACGACGACTACTACGATCACCATGAGGACGATTACTACAACTCTTGCCGCTACTGGTAACCGGCTGACGCTTACACTTTCATTTTTTGCAACACGGCCGCATGGGGCGAGCTGCGAGCTCGCCCACGTCACAGTTTGGCTTCTCCACCTGGAACTCTTTTGCAGTGTGGAGCTTTCCCCTAGACCGTTTCTTCACAGACCAAACATTCTGTTCAGGGTATTGGGTCGCCACAAATCGGGAAGTGTGGGGGCTCAGATGCACGAAAGTCGGGCCTACGAATTCGAAGCTTCCCGAGCATACTCAGAAGTGCCAGAGCACGCGAGGACGTAAACACATTTGACCATGTAGAATCTAGGAGGAGTCGATGTGGCTTTTGAGACTGAGGCCGTTGCAGCCCTTTTCGGTGTAGTGGCGTCGGCCTGCAGCAACGGCCGCATGGGCATCCACACGACGAAGCTTGGACTGTTGAACGGCATCGTTTTTTGAATCATTTTTTGTTTGTGCGGGCCTTCGGGTGGCACTTACTTTTTGTTGCTTCGAGTTGTTGCTAGCTATAGATAGGGCTGCTGCAACCCTCCATACCCCAACTCCTACGCAGCTACGTCTATACCCTAAATGCGGATCGTGCGAAATGCCGAATTCCGGAAGGGGCTGCCGGCTGAGTACACAAGGCTTAGTTCAACCTAATTAACCTAATTCCTTGTATGCAAGGCCTCACAGGCACCGTTCTTTGTGCTGGTGCTAGGGGTGGACAGGGTGAGACACTGGCCATACTTGCTGGCTGGGCCGAGTGTTGAGAGAGTGCAGTGTCCGGTCTCGTGTAAGTAGGAGATATTCACCGAGATATTCACCTTCTCCTTCTCGCAAGCACGAGCATCAGCCGAACGGCCGAACTGCATCTCCAACCGTATTATGAGCCCATGTAGCCCACACGCAAAACTCCTGTTCGCTGCTTTGCCCAAGGCACATTCAAAAGCAACCCCGAAGCCCAAAGCCCCCCGACAGTCGAATCCAAGCCCTGAGACCCGTCAGCAAGAACCCTAAACCTTGAACCCTAAACTTATTAAGGCATCTAGTCATCTTGTTTTCACACCGACTGGGCACATATGGATCCTCGCCTGGCTTGTCCGAGTTGGGGTTTGCGGGGCTTTGGGGTCTCCGGGCGTCTGCATGAATGCCCTAAACCCACATTTTGTCGAAGGATGGTCACTGGCCACACCCTGACATTGGTGGGCGGCCTCGCGAAGATCCTCCTCCGGGTGAACCTGCGAAATGAGGAGTGGGGCTCGAGGGTCTTGGGCCGTGTTTTTGTGGGGTTTCTGAGGGTTCTTGTAAATTTTCACTTTTCAGAACGTCCAGGTAAGACCCTAAACCCCTAAACCCCTCAACCCTGGACCCTAGTTTACCCTACACCCCCAAACTGTGCTTCAGGTTCTTTGGTTCAGCTTTTGGGCTTCGGGGCTTTCGAGGGTGTACTTGAGAACCCCCGAGTTAAACGCACCTTTGCGTGGTTACCTTCCTGTTAGGGTTTAGGGCATGTGTTGTCTTAGATTCCAAAACCTTAAACCCTAAACCCTAAACCCTTTAATCTTTTGGGGCCCGAGGGCTTGGGATACGACGATGGTTGAAGCTTGGACTTGCACGGCCCTTGCGTCAATTCTTGACTTCGATGTCTGAGGGTTTGTTTGGGGTTTTGGGTCTCTAGGATTCGGGTCCACCTCATGGTCACGGCGGCTAGGGTCCCATAGCATTATCGTACTTCGGTGTTGGCAGGGCTCCACAAGCGGCCGTAGTCCTGCGAAGCAAAGCCAATCGGGCTTCTAAGGTTGGTTCGTATGATGATCATTACGAATGTTGATTTCAGTATTACTGTTGTGTCTGTTGCAGCTTTTACTGTGATTATAGGGTCCGGGGTGGCGGTTCGTGGTTAAGGGTCGCATCGTCAGGAGCGGGCGAAGATGCTGATGAGCACGATGGTCATCGCCGGCGGCCCACCCGAATCATGTGATGGCGTTCATCAATATCACCGTCGTCGTCATCATCATCACGATGCCGACGGCTTTGCAGCTAGCTATGGCGGCAATGATGAGCTGGACGAGAAGGGTGCTTGTGACGACGGATAGCTTCCGCTGATGATGCTGCTCCTGTAGTAACGAAGCGAAGCTGTGACCGGACGAGGGTGCTTGACGACGGCGCTGGCAAGCAACACACCACCGAAGCCCCAAACATGAAGGCTCTAAGACCTTGAGTACGATGCTGCCCGTAGCCATCGTCACTAGGATGGCGTTTATTTGGGGAGTGTTTGTAGTGTTCGTCATGCCGGCGATATCCGGCGATGATGAGAATGGTTCAATACTGCCGAAGATGCTGTACGCTGCCGGTGACATTGGCGCTGATGCTATGAAGATGCTGACATGCCGACTCGGATGTTCTTGCTGACGGTGCCAAGGACATCATCTGAAGGACCACGAGCCCGAGCCCCTACCCTCCACACTTGTCTGACAGCTACCAGGTACCATTGGCGGCGCTTGCTTTGGCGCATGGGCAGTGCAGAAGCATGGCCGAGTATAGAGAGACCGACAACTCCACCAACAGGTGCTGACAGGGATGTTTCAGGCCGCAAACTCAGCAAACGTTCCCAGAAACTCTTCAGAGAACCATATCAGACTCCTACACACCAGAAACACTGTCCTCCCAGACCCCTGTAGGACAGAGTGGCTTGACATACTCCAGCGAGAAAAACATGATCCTTGGAGCCCAGTTGCAACAGCAAGGCACAGAGAAATTTCGAACCCTGGAACCGTAACCCCCCCTTTCAAAATAGAGGAACCCTATACCCTAAACCCTGAAAGGAACCCTAAGCCTATACCGTAAACACTTGAAGTTAACCCTAAACCTATACCCTAAACACTTAAAGTAAACCCCAAGCCCATACCCTAAACATTTAAAGTAAACCCTAAACCCTTACAGCAGCCCCAGCCTTATGCCCTATACTCTTTAGGAGCCCTAACCCTATACCCTAAACCCTGAAAGGAACTACCTTAATCCTGTACCCTGAACCCTGAAAGGAACTACACTAATCCTGTACCCTAAACCCTTTAAAAGAGCCCCGGCCTTATGCCATACCCATAGGCCCCATAGTAGTTCCTTTTGGGGGTTCATATTTAGAGTCCTTTCAGGTAATCCCCACAAGGAATTACTATGGGCCTTATGCCCTATGCCCAGGTTCAGGGCTGTAAAAGGTTGCAGAGGAAGGCTCGGGGTTGAGTGCTGGGATCTTAAGGACACGGGCTTAGAGCTTCAGGGTTTAAGGGTTTAGGGATGTTTAGGGCTTAGAGCTTCCGGGTTTTAGGGTTTAGGGATGCTTAGGGCTTTACGGTTTCAGGGCTTAGGGCTTCAGAGTTTTAGGGTTTAGGGCTTCAGGGTTTTAGGGTTTAGGGTTTTTAGGGTTTTGGGGTTTGTAGGGTTCTAGGGTTTATAGGGTTTAGCACTTCACAGGGTTAGGTTCTTGCGAGAAGCGTTTAGGGCAAAGGCTTAGGGGTCCTTCAGGGGCGGGTCTCTTTCAGAGTACTTTACAAAGCGTGCCGCACTTTATGAGGGACGTAAAAGGGACCGTAATTTCGAGAACTGCGTATATGCACTCGTGGGCATTTTCCAGGCATGGCCTGTTTCCTGTATCAGGGTCTGGTGCTATGAGCTGTTCAATTGGTCCGTATTGGGTTCAGAGTTTAGGGATCTAGCTACCCATAGGCCCCATGGGAGTTCCTTGGTGGGGTTCATATTTAGAATCCTACAAGGTAATCCCAAAAAGGAACGGCTATGGGGCCTATGGTAGACCTGATGGGACCCGTACGTAGTTGAAAGAGTTTAAGGATCCTAAACCCAGAAATCTTCAGCCAGCAAGGACCCCGAAGATTGACAGTCACCTCCTGCTTTTTCCGATCCCAGCGGCTTGGATTGGCCCGTAAGCAGGTATTTCCGTATGTAGGATTGAGGGTCTGGTGTCGGATTTAGGGAACCTATGTGCATTCGTGTGTGTATTATAGTATGTACGTATACCTGTATGATAAGCCCCCCGGAGTATCCCGCATCTCCACATGGGGTATGTGCAATATGTTTATATATATATATATACATTATGTAAAGGAGGAGATATAGCTAGATTTGTCTGCTCTATAGCCCGAAGAATTGATCCGAAAGAAGCAGGAAGAGGAAGCACATCGGTTCAAAGGCAAACAACACTGAGAAGCTCGATGTGCTGGAAGTAGCGACAAAGGAGAGTGAGCACGAACGAAAAGCGACAAAGAAGCAAACCCAACTGCGAAACGGTGCATCTCAACATTGCGACACCAATCCAAGTAACAGCTGAAACAACGACATCACAACAGCACAAATCAAAAACATCGCAAGACCGCACCCTACGTTGAACATAGGCCATGTTGTTTTTTGGAGCGGGGGTGGGTGGGTGGTCCATAAACACACACACACACATACATACATATATATATATATATATGTATTTGTCCATCTACTTTTATTTATTTATATATATATATATGTACATTTTTTTTTTTCACTGTGCTTGTTGTTGTTGCTTTGTTGGTTCCCGTGCCTGCTCCGCGCATTCCTGTCCTCTGCGAGGCATTGTCGCGCGACGCACGTCATCCCTAGGGCTCCAGTTAGAGCAGGGTTTAGGGGGTTCAGGGGGTTTAGGGTTTGGGGTTTGGGGTTTGGGGTTTAGGGGTTTAGGGGTTTAGGGTTTAGGGTTAAGGGTTTAGGGGTTTAGGGTTTGGGGTTTAGGGTTTAGGGTAAGACTGCAAAGCCGGGCCAGGAAAATCCGAACGGGGAGCCCTGAGGAATAATGCTAGAACATATTTATACTCACAGAGTATGTGACCCAGTAGCCCATTAATTTGGCAACTAGTAGGGTGTAGGGTTTAGGGTTTGGGGTCTAGGGGTTTCGGGGTTCGGGGTTTGGGTTTAGGGTCTTATGTCGGTGTGTGGGTCCAAGTACCTGATGATCATGAATGTACTCTTCCAGTACTAGCCTACAAAACTGTTATCCTAAACCCAAGCACAAACCTAAATCTTGGGCCCTTGAAGCCTCTAGAGAGCTTGAGTAATAACATGAGTTGTTCCTGAGGGCTCCTTGTAATAGTGATTGTCGGACGCAACCCCAGAACCCTTTTCTAAATCCTTCGCGCCCGTATTTTGCAGTCTTTCCCTAAGCCCTATAGACCCCATAGTAGTTCCTTTTTTGGGGATTACCTTATAGGGTTCTAATTATGAGCCCCAAAAAGGAACTACCATGGGGCCTATGGGTAAGCCCTATAATAATTACCCTAAACCCTAAACCCTAAACCGTCTATAGACCCTAATCCCTCCCCCGCACGTATCCCCCCGAGGCAGCCCGGGACCTGGTCCTCCTTACGCCTTACGCCATAAAGCTTCAGGGTTTATGGGTTTAGGATTTTGGATTTGGGGGTTTATGGGTTTAGGATGTTTGATTTTGGGGTTGATGGGTTTAGGATGTTTGATTTGGGGGGTTTATGGGTTTTAGGGTTTAGGATTTGGGGTTTAGGGACTGAGGGACTTTGGGTTTAGGCTTAGACCGACTGTTTGGCCCATCAGGGTTCCTAGAAGGGGTTTCTTTATATAAGGGTTCTATAAGAGTACCACCAGTGTTGTGGGAGACTTCCCCACTTGGACGCTCTTCTGGCCTAATACCTAAGGTTGAAGGTGGCTTATGTTAAGGGGGACTATCCTAAGGCAGTTGAAAGAGGGTTTGCCGCGTGAAACTAAGTGTAATCAAGGCACCCTGAAGGCTTATCCTGACAAGTCTCGAAGGTGCAAACCCGTGAACCCCTCAACCCCTTAGCCAACCCTAAACCCAAAACCGTTAAACCCTAAAACCCTAAACCCTAAAACCCCAAACGTTGGGCCCCAAACCCTTAAACCCTAGACCTGAAACCCGTAACCCTAAACCCCGCATAGCTGGCCTGCCTTGTGCCAGTGTGAGAGTCGAAACCCCCCATAGCCAGCCCTAGGTGATCATGATCGTCCTCATGTTTCTACACGATCATTTGGCGAAGCCCCGTTCTTTGATCAAGAAGGCCGTTGCCGGCACGGGCTCTCTTGTCTGTGGTTTGGGGTGTTGGAGTTTGGAGTTGAGTTTCGGATTCTGGGTCGAGGTATTTGTTCTTCTGTGATGGATTTCGATGTTGCATTGATCTGCTTCCAGCCTCCGATTTACTGTGCCACTTATCTGCAGCAAGCCAACGTCGCAACCTGCTTCGCAGGTGCAGCACAAGTTGAGACAACATGCCGAACAATTTCATCGTGAGCATTCTCCGGTGACTTCTGAAGCTGATCATGACGAGGAGGTGGCACTGCGGGGAGTAATTATAGCGCGACGGAATGGCTTTCATACTAGTACCCAGCCAGGTGGCCAGGTCATTGTGGGCTTGGGTTGGAGTGCAGGGCGTTTGTTTCTAACAGATGCATGGCTCCAAAATGATTTGCGCATAGTTTCAGTTTTGATTCGCGGGTATTGGTTCAATTTGGTTTCCAGAC